TTTAATATTAATTTCTTAAAGATTAAATTATTCTATTTGTATAAAGAAATTAAAGTGACTTTTTAAAGATTTATAAATTCATTAAATTAAAAAAAACAAGAATAGAATTTTAATATGTTATATCTTGTAAAATTATAATAAAATTATATATGAATACAAAATTAATTTTATTTAATTTTTTATTTATATAATATAGATATTTATGTGACTTATATCAAATATAAATGTGATAAGATATTTGAATTTTATATATATCAAGATTATATTATTAAAATTAGTAATATTTTTCATCACAGAAATTATCTAAGATTTCACTTTTATAAAATTTAGCTAGTTATTTTGAATTTAAAGTATAAGTCTTCTATTAGTTTATTTTTAATATTTTTTATTATTATTATTATATTATTATAAATTGTAAAAATAATGATATTGATAATATAATAAAAGAATATGTGAATAATTAAAGAAATTTTTATATAAATATATCCTATTTTAAAAGATTTATAAAAAATTTGAATAATTTATAAGAATTATGAAAGTTAAGTTAAATTTATTATATAATTTATAATATATTACATTAACTTATAATAATTTCTAAGTTACTTGAAAATAAACAAATTTCAAAAATAATTTTAAATTAATGTAGATAATTTATATTATTATTATAAAATAATATCAGATAATAATTTCAAAAAATAAGAATAATATATAATAAGTTTTTAACATAATATATTTGAAGTTATTGGCTAGTTATCAAGCTTTTTTTTAAATACTTTATTATTAAATAGAGAATTAATAAAATATTTTCTTATAATATATATCTTATTATGAAGTTTATTTATATTAATATCTACTTAAAAATATTTAAATTTTTAATTAAATATCTTTTTAAAGAAGATAATAATATTTTCAATTCATTTAACTAAAAAACTTAATAACTTAAAATAAAGAACTGAAAGAATTTTTCAGATTTAAGTATAATTAATCCAATTAATAAAGTAATAATATGAACTTAATATTCAAAATAGAATAAATATATTTTTATTTAATAATAATAACTTATTTCAAGTTTTTAAAATAAAATATCTCAATATTTTACATTAAAATATAAGATATTTTAAACTTAATAGTTAGAGATAAAATATATTTATCTGTATATAAGTACTAATTAAATTAATTTTTAACTTAAAAATAATAATCATTAAAGAGATCTAATTATATATAACTATTTATTATTTAATATTTTATAACTTAACAAAATTTATTTAAGTTTTCTAGTTATTAATTAATTATAAAAGTCTCTTTATAGTTATATCTTTTTATAATTATCAAATTTTACTTTTTTAAGCATGATAACTATTCTTGAATAGATAATCTAGAAATAAGAATATATAAATATTATAAAGTTTTAGTAAAAGTGCTAACTCTTCAAAGATTTATTAAGAAAAAAGTTTTAATTACATAAGTTTAGAGTGGCAGCTTAGATATAGTAGGTATTTGCTTTTTGTGCAAATTGTTTATTTCTTTATTATTTCCAAATATCTTATATATATCTGTAAGAAATAGAGTATTTCTTATAAAAATCTAAAAATATATCAAAGTACTAAAAAGTTTTATATGTGAATATTTATTTCTAGAACTATTATAATAATTATTAATACAACTACTTTATTTCTTTAAAGTACTCTCTATTAAACTCTATATAATATTCTAGCTAATTTTACTAATTCTAAAAAGAGTTCTCATAATTTTCTATTGAACTATTTTCAATAACTATCTAAATAGCTCCTGTCAAATTTTTAATCTTATCAAATTTTCTTCTCTTTAATTCTTTTTTATTTAAAAGAATAAGAAAAAATTACAAGAAGCAAGATCTGGACTGTATGATAAGTGAAGAAGAAGTTTCATTTACTTATTATAAAGATATTTTATTATAATTCTTGTCTTATATTATGATATTATCTATTATAATTCTTATCTTATATGCTATAATATTATTATGATAAAGCATAATGTTACAAATAGATATTTTATCTTTTTTTTTTATAAACTTTGAAAAAACTTTTGATAATATTTTATTGATATAAAGGTTAGTATTAACTATTTATTCTTTTGAAATTACAAATTATATAATATGCAAAATATTTTTTTTTGAATTTTGAGCTATCTTTACTATTTGTGACCTATACTCATCTTTTTCTAGTCATGACTTGTTTGCTTTCTTATTTAAAATAGTAAAGAAATATATCTATATTTCATCACTAGTAATAATATTTTTGTATTTTCTATCTAAAATTTTTAATAGTTGCTTGGAAATTTCAACATAATTTTATTTATATTTCTCTGAAAGTTTATAGAGAATTCATTTTACAGAGTTTATAAAAACTCAGTTCTTCATGCAAATTCTTTCACAAAAAATACCAACTTCATTAACTAATTCTTTAATAGAAATATGTGGGTCATTGCTAACAAGATTCTTGATCCTGGCAATTTTTTCTGATGTCACTGCTTCACGAGGACATCCAGAATGGGCCTTGTCTTTAATTTCTTCTTTCTCATCTTTGAATATAGCAATTCAGTATCTAATTGTGCTGATAGATAATGCTTGTTCTTCTTCTACATTCACTAACTCTTCATGAATTTGTGTTGCATTTCTGCCATTTTTCCAAGAAGTGAAAATAAAGTATCCTTAGTTTTCATGGCTCATTTTCTTCCAGTTGTTTTACTATTCCCAATTTTAGTTAAACTAATGCAATCTCGAGTTAGAGAGCCACACGCAAAACTTTTCAGCCCCCCCCCAAACGTAAAATCCCCTTCCGTATTTATAAAGTTTCAATAGACACCATATGTTTCTTAACTTTTATTTGCACTGGTATGTTTATTTGGAAATTTGCGATAAGATTTTAATTATTTACAATGTATAATAATAAATTTTTTATGAATTGCTAGCATGTTCGTACGATATATACGCACGTAGTATGATTTCTACACAATTTTTTCTAGAAAGTTGGCGTTGGTTCATTAGTGAGATATGACATATGTTACATGCTTGCTTTCTTTCAATGTAAAAGTTGCACATCTACTAAACTGTAACAAATATCCAATGATGGCCGCAATTATAATCACGATAATTTTTCTTTGTTATTGTTAGTGAAGGCTCTTCATAGTGGATTGCTTGGAAATTGCAATTGGTAAAATATCTCATTTATACTATAAAGTGACGGCTTTAAAGTTACGAACCAATTCGTAATCTTCCAAGTCGGGATCCGATAATTTCTCTATAAAGATTTTAGTATAAATAAAGACACTTGCAGAATAATATGATGGCTGTTAATACTAGGCATGTTTTTAGTGACAAGCTCTGAGAATTCGAATGTTTACAAGTTCAGAATAATCAAATAGTCTATCGGAATTCCTGAAAGATTTCTAGTCACCATAATGCTTTCGTTATTGGACAAGACACTATCAACAGATGTGATTTATAAGAACAGTATAAGAATAGTAAACTAATTAAATACTTATCTTTATTGTTATTAAACTAATATAAATCTAATTTGGGTTATTGTTCGTAAAAAAAATGTCACCAATAAAATAAAATTTTCCATCCTTAAAGTTATTGAACATTAGAAAGAAGAATTCGACTCCATATCGTAATAAAAGTAACAATATGTGCATGATTCTATTTACCACTCTCAGATATAAAGTTTTTCTTTGTCATCAAAATTGAATTAAATTGCAGCGTGCTTTAACATAACAGGCATTACATCAGTTTTATAAAGAGATTGCGTCACTTATTGCTATTGGTTATTCATATATAGTTAAAACTTAATAAAAAATTAATAATATATTCATTGCGCATTTATTAACGAACTATTATTTTGTAAACGCGATAAACATCGGTACATTCGATTTTTGCGAAGTCGTTACTGAAATGGTCAATTTATAGAGAGACCTGTATTGCCAAACTCCAAAATATCGAAGCATATGATTTTATTGTCAATAATGTGCCGGAAATATTAAATACGTATTAGACGAATAGGAAGATGATTGCGAATTGAACTAAATATGAATTATTTTTTATAATTCATCATTTGATTGTTATGAACGGTCGAAAATGTCAACAAAAGAAAATAATTGACATCAACTGGCACTTTATAGTAGTAACAAATTCAACAAAGAAATTTTCCACATCTCGAAGACGACAACCGCAATAGGCACCATGTCCAGTTAGAATTTTAGTTCATGTTGGTGATTGGTTGGATAACCCGGAGACTGTTCAGCATCTCCAAGGGTACGATTGATTAGCTTCTAGTGATTCAACTTTTGAATTTATGATTAGTCCTAGTTTTCACCGATAGAAAGTGCTAATTCAATGTAATCTCTGGATCACAACGTAATAACGACAGTATGCAATGAAAGACTAACCTCGCCTTGACTACTCAATCGACTTTTACAATGAACTTTATTTTATTTATTGACTTAATAATTGCGTGCATACTCTAATTATTCTCCTTTTTAAAGGAAATTTATCTTTCCTGCCTACTGATTAATGATAAATCATCTTGCCATTTGATGATTGCTTTCACGGTTTCTCTGTCTTCCAAATTTGTTAAACCTAATTTGTCATCACCAGGTCTGACAAATTTCGTGAGCATTATCGCAAACCGTGATCTATGTTGTGACGTAAAAATTCATGCAGCCGTATAGTTATTTATTCCCCATTAATGGACTCAAAATCACTATCCAACAACAAAAAAAACATTTCTTAGGGAGCGCAGGTTAAAATGAATGTCAGGAGTTACATGTACATGTAGTTTTAAAAGAATGTCTTTTTTGATTACATGCACGCATTAACGTTAATGCATGGAATTACGTTGATATGCATATGAAGCTCCCATTCAAATGCAGTTAGATTACGTCACACGACCGACATGGGAAAAGATAAAAGCACAAGTTTCAAATCAGTAATGGTAATTTGTTTAAATTAAAAATACCCAAAAATGCCTGTAACAGTTCTACAAAATTTTATTGGCGGTGAATTTGTAAACTCTAATAACACGGAACAATATATTGATAGTTATAATCCCGCCACTGGAAAAGTAAGGATTAAAAAAAAAGAAAAAATGATCTGCATAATTAAATACATATATAACGATAATAAAATCCATTCCTAAGGTTCACGCAAAAGTTCCAGACTCGAACGAAGTAGACGTCAATAAGGCTGTGGAGGCCGCACAAGCTGCCTTTAAAACCTGGTCAAAGCTCCCATCTAGTCATCGTTCGAATTTTCTTTATCGTATAGCGGATGTTCTCGAATCCCGTTTAAAAGAATTTGCAGAGGCGGAAGTACGTGATCAGGGTAAAACGATCAAATTTGCGACGAATATTGATATTAGTCGGTCGGTATATAATTTTCGATATTTTGCTGGGCATGTGTTGCATATGGAAGAGAAGGCTGGACAGCTTGATGGGGTCGCTTTGAATTATGTGCAGAGATGTCCTATTGGTGTTGCTGGATTGATTTCGCCGGTGAGTCAATTGTATTGAGATTTCACGATTAATTTTATTGAAAGTAGACGAGAACTCGTAGTTTTTTAACTTATTTTCTTACGATGACATTTAACAGTGGAATCTGTAAGTAGCTGTGCTCTTTTTCGAATTTCTTTACCATAAGCAAATCTGAAAATTTTTTACGCCAAACAGGCCGCTCTATCTTTTGACTTGGAAAATTGCTCCTTGCATTGCAAGTATGTAAAGAAATCAAAAACATTTAGACTTTGATGCCCGTTCTAATCTTAATTATGCGTTTCATTTTGAGGTGGGAACACTTGTGTTTGCAAACCAAGCGAATTTACCAGTCTGACAGCTTATAGTGAGTAATTGATAGATTCTGAAATCAGTATATATGAAATAGTTCAGATTGAAGTAATTCATTTCGTATAGTGCTATGCTCGGTATTGAAAGAGGCCAAACTCCCGGATGGCGTGGTGAATATGGTTTTTGGTTCAGGTTTGTATCTATTCTTTTTCGTTCATTAGTGGAATTATTTTACTTGAGGCTAAGAAGAACGAAATTTAGGACCAAGCACTGGCGAAGCGCTTGTAACTCATCCAAATGTGCCATTGATCTCTTTCACTGGAGGTAAGGAACCGAGGTGTTATTAATTAGTACGTGATTTCATCTTAATTTTCCTAATTAATAAATAAAGGTACCGTCACCGGCAAACATATTATGGAAAGTAGCGCGAAGCAGCTGAAGAAACTTTCTTTAGAACTTGGTATTATTAGTATTTTAGTTTTCTGGGAGGCTTTTGTTTAACAATCTATATAAAGAATCATTAATTCTACTGGTATATTTCGACAGGAGGGAAAAATGCCAATATAATTTTCGATGATTGTAATTTTGAACAAGCAGTTGAGACGAGCATTCGAGCTGCGTTCTCGAATCAAGGCGAGGTATAAACAATACTTTTCAGAATTCATCCTCATGATTGAATTTTTCTTTTGATGTTGACATTGAATTCTTTCATCTTAGATATGTCTATGTGGTTCTCGAATTTTCGTACAAGAAACCATATATCAAAAGTTTCTTGACACGTTTATCCCCAAAGCACGTGATCTTGTAGTCGGCGACCCAAATGACCCGAAAACTTTTGTAGGTGCATTGAATAATAAACAGCACATGGAGAAAGTTCTAATGTATATAGATTTAGCGCGTCAAGAAGGAGGTGTGATCGAATGTGGAGGTTCGCGTAAAATATTACAAGGGGAATTAAGCGAAGGTTATTTCGTTGAACCGACAGTGATCACGGGGTAGGTACGAATTTTGAATTTGAATTTACTATTGCATCTTATTCATTCTGTTATATTCCATTAGAGTGTCACTTACTAGCCGCGTTGCTCGAGAAGAAATATTTGGCCCTGTGAGTTATTATTTATCTGTTTGATCATTTGCCAAGAGCGTTTTCCTAATTAATTTTTTATTTGGCAAAAATCAAGGTTGTCACAGTGCATCCATTCACTGACGAACAACAAGCAATCGATTATGCAAACGACAGTCTATACGGCCTAAGTTGTTCTGTTTGGACAGAAAATGGTCGTCGCGCGCGTCGTGTTGCCGAATCAATAGATGCCGGCACTGTTTGGGTAAACTGCTGGTTGGTACGAGATTTGAGGATGCCATTTGGTGGGATGAAAGGCAGCGGTAAGCATTTTTTCTTACATTCATACTTTGTCATAGTTGCTTTCACGATATTTACTTTTGTCAAATGATCTACAGGATTGGGTCGTGAAGGAGCCGATTACAGTATGGATTTCTTTACCGAATCGAAAACTATTTGTTTGGCAAATATGTGAAATTTCTTCTAGATATTTAATCATGAATTATTGATTTAGTGAACTAGAATAAAATTCTATTTTGTATGAGTGAATGCAAATATTGTACAGTGCGTGCGGGAGAGTTTAAAATTGCTTAAACTTTTGATTGAAATTTTTTTTTCATAGAATAATTTTTAAACTCAAAGGGTTTGCAGTCTAATTTTGTCATGTATCTTAACGTTAATGTTTGGCATGCTCATACATTTTCATTTAGAAAAATCAGTGTTATCGTTCATTTAAAAACTTAAAACTAAAATGTCATCGTCATGAAAAACTGAGCGCATGCATTTACCACTTGTAAATAATGAAACTTTTTCAAAAATTAAGACTCGGGTTAGCATTTATATATCCCGACTTTGTTATTATTTGAATGAAATTGATTATTTTTGTGTTTATTAGCTTCAAATGATATCTGAGAGAATTCACTTGCTTTATTTGTTTATATATATAAAGAGAGTATTGTTATTGTCACCCTTCACTTTTGTTATTGCCATCCCACCACATGCAGTGGCTCACAAAAGAAACGCAACACGGAAAAAAAACGGCGAGCTACGAATACCTCGCCGTAGGAGAACCTGGGTAACCAAAAGATGGATGTATTGATTCATCAATATCTACAGTATTTATGATATCAAAATTTATTCGCTTCTACCTTTTGATTAAAGACGCATTAACTTTTTTATCTTTTTTTAGCGTTGCACTTATTACGACCGAACGGGAAGGTGGACGGAGGGGCTATATAAAGATAAGTACAAGCGCTTTTGATGTTTCGTAGCTTAAAAAAATAAATCTTCACATTCTAGCAAACAAACTGATCCATTTTTCATGCCTAGAATCCCCATAGAGAAACGCGCCCATGTATACACGCTCCGGAAAGAAGGATATTCGATGCGGGAAATCGCAGCATCGGAACAAGTAGACCCGGCCTCCGTCTACCGGATATGCAAAAGAAGGAAGAGACTGGGAGCTTCGATGACAAGCCAAAAACCGGTCGCCCACCAATCCTCTCGACACGCTACGAAAGAAACGTGTGCCACTAATCCACTCCGGAAAATGTTCCACAGCTGTCGAGGTCTAACCAGAGCTTAAAAATGAGTTGGACGTTGACCTTTCGGTGGAAAGCATACGACGTATACTCCATAGAAACGGATCATTCGCTCACATAAAACGAAAGAAGCCTTACCTCAAACGAACACACAAAAAACGACGGTTGGCGTGGGCGAACTTGGACAGCCGACGAATGGCGACACGTAATTTAGTCTGACGAGTGCAAGTACCAAATTTTCGGGTCGGATAGCTGAAAGTATTGCTGGAAGAAGCCCGGTGGTCAGTTAAAAGACCAGCATATTACGCCAACTGTCAAATTTGGCGGTGGTTCGATTATGGTCTGGGGTTGCGTGACGGGCGATGGTGTTGGCGAGTTGAGAAAAATTGTGGGAAAAATGAATGCGGATGGCTATGCGGAAATCCTAACAAATAATCTTCTAGGATCAGTCTGGGAGAAGGGGCTGGAGGATAGCGATTTTATCTTCCAGCAAGATAAGTACCCAAAACATGTTTCCGGAAAAGCAAAGCAATGGTTCGCCGACAACGAGATCACTTTGCTAGACTGGTCATCCCAGTCTTCCGACCTAAACCCCATAGAAAATTTATGGAATGAAGTAGATATGCAGATGAGGCAACTTCCTGGACCACTTTTAACCACAGAACAGTTGTGAGAAAAGTTGCAAGTGGCGTGGAAGAGCATAGATCTCGATTATTGTTCCAAATTGTACGAATCTGTGCCAAAAAGGATTAGTGAGGTAATAAAAGCGAAGGGGTGGTTATAGAATATTGAAGTATGTAGTACGAAAAAATTTGATATCGTCACTTTTAGTTTTCCAAATTTTCCCTACGGCGAGATATTCGTATCTCGCCGTTTTTTTTTCCGTGTTGCGTTTCTTTTGTGAGCCACTGTAATTAGTGAATGATCAGTTTTGGATTTATTCAAAACCAGATCAAATTATTACTGATAGAGTAAAGAAAACAACAGCATTGTATATAAATTATAATAGATTTATGCATGAGTTTTCTTGTAATACAACTTTTTTTATCTCTTTGAGTTGGATTTCGTTTTGCTAGAATAATCAAAAGCTCATGAATCCTCATTGCAATTTTTTTAAGAGATAACTAATTGCAAATATCAATGTGTAATGGGAGAATTCAAAACAAACATTTATAACATGTATATATATCTCAAATTTTGCCTATGAAAACTTAATTTTACAGAATGCTGTTCTTGCAATTTTGATTGGTTTGCATCTTAAAAATCACAGTTTTAAGTCGATCCAAATCTGGAATTATTACTAATTATGTGATGAGATGGCAATAACAAAAGTGAAAGATAATAATAATCTTCTATATATATAATTTGAAATTATTAATATAATTATTTTAGTCGAAATTAATATAAATATCTTTGTTATAAAATTTAGTTCACTAGAAATTTTGTGAGATTATTAAATAATGATCATTTAATTAATTGATACAAAATATTAAATACCATAATTTATAACATAACTAATAATTCAATTTTATAATTATTTTTCTATTGAATTTCAAGTATTTAGAATTAAAAATTGATCCACTAAAAATTCTATAATTCTCATTTAAATGAAAATGATTATTTATGTATTTACTAGATTCAACTGATATTTTAAGAGAATTTACATATTAATTTTAAATTAAAATTTATATAATTACAGTATGTAACAAAAAAACTGGATATTTTATTTTTGGTTATATTCAAAGAATATTTATTTAATTCATATAAAATTTTAATATATATACTTGATAATCTAGTGAAAAAGTTTATTTAAAAGTATTTAATAGCTTATCTTAATAAAATTTTTCATAATTAATCTTTTTATATTAAATTTTTTTTGAAAAAATTGATTATAAAAAATTTAAAATAAAATTTTAAATATATATACTTGATAATCTAGTAAATAAGTTTACTTAAAATCAATTTGCAAAATAATAATCAAATTTATTTATAATAATTTATTTAAGTTTTCTTATTATTAAAAATTTTTAATTTTAAAAATATAAATTATAAAAAATTTTAATAAGATAAGTATTCAGTAGTCTTAAATAAAGTTATTTATTATATTCTAAAGTATATATTTAAATCTTTATGTTATTTAAATAATATTTATAAAGAAAATTAAAATATCTGGTTTTTTTTGTTATATACTATATAATCGGTAAATTCTGTATATATTAATAATATTTATTATTTTTTATTAATAACCTATAGATCAAATTTTTTTATATAATATTTCAATATGTTAAAATATATTTCTGAAGTATTATTTAGAAATTTTGAATAATTTAATATTTTACCAATTTTTTTTGTCTTTTTATAAATTAATAATTTCTTTATATTTAATTAAATTTATAAATTCTGCTCTTTTAAATATTATTCAAAAAAATTTTTTAAATGAACAAAAAAATTATTTTTTAAAATAGAAATCAAGATGAATTTAATAAGAAAAGATCAAATAATTTGATAGTTTATTGCTAAGATAGATATAAGTACTCTATTTTAATTAAATTATACAAATTATTAATTAGTATTTTTTATAGATATATATATATATACACTCTCTAGTCAAAAGTTTCTGACTATCTGATTTAAAATTACAGATTATTATCTTTTAAAATAAGATTATATCAAAACTATTAAGTATAAATAAATAAAAATTTTTTTATGTAATTCTTAATCTTACTTATTTGAAAATAAATTTTTTTTCTTTACAATATTCAAAAGATATAAGCTTACTGAATTTGAATGAAATGAGATTATAGATTTCTAAAAAGAAGATTATAATGAATAAAATTCTTGAATATTCTTAAACTATTATTCATAATACTATAATAAAATATAAAAATTCAGAAAATATTATATTCAGGAAAATTATTAAAATTCACAGAAAGAGAAATTAGAAGTCTTGTAAAATTAATTAAGAAAGATTAGTAATAAATCTTAGAGAAAATGACAAAAAAATTTAATGAGTCTTTATTAATTTTAGTACCTTTTATTATTATAAAGTATGAAATCTTATGAATAAGCTGAAAAGAAAAATTATTTATTTCTGAACAATATTATAAAAAAAACTAGAATGGTATTATAAAAAAAGAAATTGAAATAATAAGTGAAATTCTATTATTTGAAATAATAAATCTCACTTTATATTATTTTAAAATGATTTATATCATTGAATTTGGTGTAGATTATATGAAAAATATGATCTGAATTGCTTAGTTCTAATTATAAAATCTGAAAATCAAGAGATTATGATATGAAAATATTTTGTAAAAGATAAAATTGATTTTATAATTCAAGTTTCAAATAGAATAACAGATTCTATATATATAGACATATAAGAAAATACTATTTTATCCTTTTAGAAAATAATTTACAATATATTTTTAATAATACTCTAATATATAGAACAAGAATAATTAATCAATAGAAAGAGAATAATTTGATATTAAGTTTTTTATGAACTATACAGAGTCCAGTTCTTAATCTAATTGAGTATTTGTAAGATATTTTGAAAAGAAGGATTAGGGAACATAAACCTTATTCAAAAAAATATTGTGGAATTAATAGTAGATTTGGAGAAGGAGTAAAATAAAATTAAAATTTAACAAATTTAGTTGAAAGTTTGTCAAGAAGGATTTAAACAGTATTAGATAGCCATGGAAATCCAACTAAATATTAATAAAATTCATATTTTTCTGAATAAAATAATATAAATTTTTGATAATATTTATTTATAAATTGTCAAGAAATTAATTGTTAAAGTTTGTGCATTTTTATCAGATTTTAAAGTGATCAGATACTTTTGACTGAGAAGTATACATATAATTCCAAATTTATAATTTTTTAAAACTAGAAAATTAGATGTATTCAATTAAAAAAGTATATTATA